GTATATGACCAAAAATAAGAAACCCAAAAATGAATCCCTTCAGTAATTAAAATAGGGGGAGGTTCTTATTTTTAGGACTTTAAAATTTTTGAATTAATTTTTGTGACTTTTTTTATATTCTGATCTTTTAACCGCGTTACGTATTTTTTTTATCTCTACCGTGTTACATAATTATCAAATTAGATACGATAATATGAAGTATATAAAAAAAGGAGAAAGACAATCATATTCTGTTGAGGAAAAAGCTGCAGTTGTTCGTTTTGCGCTTGCCTCCAATAATGTCAAAGCTGCTGTTCACTTTGGCATCAACAAAAGTCTAATTAGTAAATGGGTAGGAGGCTTGAAATCTCAGCTTGACAATCTTAAAAACCGTAAGTCTTGTCATGTTGGTGCTGGTAGAAAAGAGTTTTTTCCTGCTGAAGAAAAACAACTTTTTGCCTGGTTTCTTCAGATGCGTGAGGCTGCTTTAGCCATTACCTATAATAGTCTCAAGATTGAAATGTTAAAAATTGTTGCCGAAACTGCAACAAATACAGACAATCCTACGAAAAAGATTATTGCGAGCAATTTCAAAGCATCCTTAAGATGGCTCAAACTTTTTTTGCGCCGATATAATCTTACCCTTCGTCATAAAACAAAAATATCTCAACAATTACCTAAGGATCTTGAAGAAAAATTACTCAATTTCCAACGCTATGTAATTCGTATACGCCAGTGCAAGAATTTTTCACTTAGTCATATTGCCAATATGGATGAGACTCCTGTATGGTTTGATATGGCGGGTAATCTTACAGTCGATACAATTGGCAAGAAAACAGTCCATATTCGTACTACTGGTAATGATAAAAATCGGTTTACAGTAGTTCTTACATGTTTCGCTGATGGTCAAAAACTTCCCTCAACTATTATTTTTAAAGGCAAGCAGTGGCCCAAAGCTAAAGATGTACTTCCTCCCCCTCCAAATATCAATATCTCTTTTCATGAAAAAGGCTGGATGGATGAAGAAAGAATGATGAGTTGGACCTGTGATTTTGCAAAAAAACGGCCAGGTAGTTACAATAAAGAGCCTGTTCTACTTGTATATGATTCCTTTAAGGCACATCTCACGAATAATATTAAAGAAAAGATGAAGAAAACTAACACCGATCTTGTAATTATTCCGGGAGGTCTCACATCAATGTGCCAACCATTGGATGTCTCTATTAATCATCCTTTCAAAGCTGCTCTTCGTCATCATTGGCATACATGGATGGCAAGTGGTGGAGCTGGAAAAACTGTGAATGGAAACCTGAAACGTGCAAGTTTGCATACAGTATGTAAGTGGGTTCTTGCTGCCTGGGATGAAATCAATCCGGAAATTATTCAGCGGGCATTTAGAAAGTGTTGCATCTCTAATGCTTTAGATGGGTCAGAAGATGATGAAATCTTTGATGAATCGGCTTGTGGTGATAAAAGTGACATGGAAATAAATGTGTATAAAGATAATATGGAATACAGGGATAACGAAAATAATGAGGAAATTTGTGAAGATGATATTATAGAAGAGAATGGAAATGTGATTGTTTTTGATTGTTCAAAGTAAAGTGAAAAACTATTTACTTTACCTGCAGTTCTAAATAAAATTTCAAGAAATTACAGACCTTGAGAAATGAATATAATTAAGTTCGATTCATGTAAAAAGAAGAATTATTTTAAAGTTAAAGAGTACTAAACAAGATTTTTTTTTTTTTTTACTCCAAGTGATGTGAATATATTTTATAATGAAAAAGTCAATTCCGAAACT